TGGTCACTGCAAGAGCAGGTTATCACAAAGCAAGGCTGTTCCTCGTGTTCTGCCTCTTCCACACAGGCCCACTCACCCTTCTGCTTTCTCTCCATGTCATAAAGAAGCACAGGGCTCTTGCCAGATGCAGCCATCTGATGGAATTTCAGCCTCTAGAACCATGAGCTAAGTAGCTTCTTTAGAAATCACTCAGCCTGAGGTATTCTGTTATAACAACAGAGGACAAAGACTCACAAGTCTTAAAAATTTTAAATGAAGTCCCTCTACTAGAAGTAAAAACATGTAAATAGCATGGCTTTAGTTTTTCATTGATCCCATCATGTCCTGTCACCTTACTTCTAGCTTGACTTAATTATGATACATGCCTGGTCTCCAAAAGAGTAAAGACCTTGAAATATGCGTCATTTTTATTTTATTCATTTTATTTATTTATTTATTTGGTACCAGGGATCAAACTCGGGATCTTGCACTTGCGAGGCAGGCAGCGGAACCACTGAGCTAAATCACTGGCCCTTCATTTTTAAATTAAACTTATTTTCTTAATTGATACATAAAACACAAGAATTGTCCATGTTAAAGGGGTGCCATGTGACGATTCTGTACATAGAAACATTGTCTAATTAGGTTAAACACATCTATCTCGTCAAATATTTATCACTTCTTTATGGTGAAAGCATTCAAAATCCTTTAAAATCCTTCAATATATCCTTTAAGTATTTGTTCAGGTATTTATGTATGTATGTATTTATTTAGAGACAGAGTCATACTACGTACTGGTCTTGAACTCACGATGTAGACCAGGCTAGCCTCGAACTCATGGTGATGCTCCTGCCTCAGCTTCCAGAGTGCAGGGGTTACAGGTGGCCATCACCGTGCCTGGTCTCAACACTTACTTAGAAAAGAGGCTGAGAGTAGGGAAGAAGTTGGATCCTTGGCTAGAGTGGCCTACCTCTTCTGTACTATCTAAGGCAATTTATTTCCGGTCCCCAAATCCTATATATTCAACTGAGCAAAACAATAACTCTGCAAATACTCTGACACCCATGAGGGGTTGGGGAGAAATTTAGCAACAATTTGCTGTTTCTCTAGAATCTTTAAGAGGCTTCTCTCAGCCGCCACCGTCCACGAGCTTAGGAAGGCACTCCTGTAACACGCAGTGTATGAGCCGCTGGGCAGAGTGCCGGTGGTACGCTACCTTCATTTCACTGTCCTCCGGGGATATTTCAGCATAAGATCCTGGCTCCACAGGCCATCGGCTCCGTCCTGATGTTTCCCGCGTGGCAGGTGGGTACTGCTTCTGGATGTGAGTAGCACTGCGGGGAGGGCAGTTTTTGAGAAGGAAGTAATGACTACTCTGTGTGTATACAGAATCTAAATCACCGGTGAACCATCGAGGTGGATGGCTTAGAACAAGAGAACCATGTCCTAAGCAGCCAAGAGGACGGTCAGATGAGGGGGACTGAAGCACCTCGTCTCCCCGGGGTGCTGGGTGGGGCACCCACACGAGAAGACAGCACGTGCCCGGCAGGGTCAGGAGCGCTGCTCCTCCCATGGTCAGCACGGGGAGGGGCGAGTGGGCCGGGCCTGTCTAGGGCTGTGTGAGACCCACACTGTGAATCACAGCTAACCTAGACACTACTTTTTCTACAGCTCTTCAAAACCCCTCCAGAGAATGCGTGGCATTTAGAAATCTCCTGTCTCAGTAGAATTCTCTGTAGCAAATACAGCCGTTTTGAAACCGGCAAATCTCTGAGAGTCCAACATACCCCCTGTTGTCCTAGTACTTGCTGCATCGGGCCAATGTAAAACACCTTTCCTGGTTCATGGGAAAACATCTGGCTAATTAAATGCATTGGTACTGCAGTTTCTAACAAATGTAAGGAAAAAAAGGAGTCATTTTTACCTACTCTTTTCATTTAACGTTTTTTAACTGCCCTCCAAAGCAAGAACACACTCTTTGACACCTCAGCTCAGATAAACACATGTACAAGTGCACGTTAGATTATGAAAGTGCGATTTCATAAGATTTTTGAGCTAGAAGTAATGCTTAGTATGTGGCTTTCCCAATTCCAAATGCATCCATTACAGTGTATTTATGGTGCTAAAAATTGGAAACTATCTAAATATCCCAAAGCAGGGAAATGTTTAAGCAAAATAGGATATTTCTATATGATGTGGAGCTATACAAGCATTAAATGTGATTATTTTTACAAATTTTAAATAATAAGGGAAAATTCATGTTAAATTTAAGACCAATTCATATGATGCAAATTGTTATATTCTCATCTAACTAAGTATATATTGTAGAAAGACTGGCAGAAATCTGCTAAAATATTCAGTGTTTTCTCTGGTGGAGCTAATATTAAATTTTAATTTTTTCTGATTTTTATATTGTAAATATGCTACTGTTATGATGAAAGAAAAATAAACGACTCAAAGGCTGTAATACTGAGAGGATTTTTTCCCATGCCCAAGCCTCTGAAAGAGACATGTCCCAACTTTCACCCTTGTGGTGTAGATACATGTGAAGGGAGAATAAGTGATTTCTCCAAGTTTATTGATACTATGAGAAAATGATTATTTAATGTAAATACAGAGCTCAAGGAAATGCGTAGACACTGAATATTGTAAAACTATGCATAAACACATTTCTTCTTCCTGAAGTTTAAAGCAAATTCCTACAGCTACATGGTGTTGACTTCTTGGACAACAACATAGGGAGACACAGGGATCCCTGGCTTTCCAAAACTAGCACATATTCACCAGACATCCTCTGCCTCAAAATATGAAACACTCAAGACCAAAAACCAATCCAAAACAAGGCCCCCAAGAAGAATGAAGTTTTCGTCAGTTTTTTGACAAAATTAAGGAAAGGTATCTTCAGCTCTTTTTTAGTCTAAGAATGTGAATATCATTAGAAAGCCAAAAAAATGGGTCTTGAAATCTTTCCTTGGTTTTTTCATGCTTCCAGTATCCATGAAACTCAACTGGGCAAAGCTTTTCCTCTCCATCCTTCTAATTGTCTGGTAGAATCAAAAAGTTTAAAAAGTGACAAGCACATATTTCTTCTATACAATGAAAACAGTATTCTCTAAATCAACTATGGAATCATCATGTAAATACAAGTGAATAATATATCATGTTTCTTAAACACTAAATGAAATTTTAAGAGCAATATCCCATTTTATTATTTACATTGTAAAACAATGTGTGGGGATTTCACACGGAATAAATATAAAACATAACTAAGATTATTAGATAGGGCTAAAAAGGAGAGACGGCAACCCTGGACAAGTTCAAAAAGAAGTTGTAAAAATAGTAGAACAGTATTTTAGTCAAGGTTTATGCAAATGTTTCATTTTTTAAAATGTGAAATTATCTCATTATAGTTAGTAAACAACAAAATGACAAGAGCAAACTATTAGAATTGCTTCAGAACACTTATTTGAGTGTTACAGTATTTATTTTAAAAGAAACTGACTGCAGGGAGAATTTCAAAAATATGAAAATATATTTGACTTTGTAATGTTAGGGGCAGGGAGACTGATTAATGATTTTTCTAAAATCTAAACTAGGAAAGACCTACGCAACTTTGAAAACATCCCATTAACTCATTAAACTTTATTAAGCCCTTAGTAAAAATAATAAAAATGGCCCTTAGTAAAAATAGGAGACTGACATCCTTGCTAAAATAGATCTTCAACACATCCTTTTTCCTGTTTTGCTTTCTGCAATCTGATGAAAACTAGCAAGAACACACACACATAAAATAAACTAAACTTTCACTTGGTAATATGACTATCAATCATCAATGCAAAATAGTTTTATGTTATAGAATCTTCTCGTGACTTCAATTTCTATTAGCACAATTAGAATGCCAGTTAAAAACCTGGTGGGTCTTTTTTTAAAATTTTGGTTTAGAGCTTGGTTGGACAAATTCAGGAAAACATTCACGATGTGCTACTTTCTCTTTATCTGTAATACTATGCTTTCCCTGTCACCCTTCACTCCACATCCTCTGACTCAGAGACTATTGGAGGGAACACCTGTTTTAAATGGATCCACAGGAAATACCTATGTGGTCTTTCCACAGTCTGACCCTGCATCTGGTTGGTTGAAATATCATCATGATTAAAAAAAAAAAGAAAAAAAGCTGCCCACAGACTGATGCAGTGGAGTGTGACAACATTTACTGGAAGGCGGAAGGAATCCAGGTTATATTTGTTTTTCTGGCATTAAGCCCTGGTGCTGTAGTGTAGGGATAGGTGGTGGGGGAAGAAAACTTAAAGGGCCAAACAAGTCGCTTAACCTCCCAAAGATACGTACTAAATCACACATGCGTGGGCTGTACACCCAAAACTCCAAAGCATATGTCTTTAAACTGCATGCAACCTTGCAGCAGAAAGCGTTATCGGGCATCTCTTCCTTTATAGCTTTATATTATAAACTTATTCAAATGGCATAGTCTATGGTCTGCTATATATCGATCGATATGTCACTAGTGAACGTTTCGCATTAAAGTGCAGAGTGGCCTGCCCAGGACAGAATTCATACAGGCCATTCAGTTAGCAGTGATGTGTCAACACAGAACACCCATGACTGTGTCCACACAATGCAAGTCCCTCGAGGGTCCCCGGGTGGCGGTTTACACCCCATGCTGACAGCGCCACCCGGTCCCCCTGCACTGAGCAGCTGCGACCTGGCCTGGACGCTGTCACCGGGCTCCCTGCTGTGACCCAGGCTCCTCGTCCCGCGCCCGGCCCGGCTCCCACTCGCCCGGCGGGCGCGCCCCTCCCTACCCCGCAAAGGCCACCAGCGGCGCCTGGGAGCGTGGGCGGCACGCGGAGGCCGCCACCCCACCGCCGGCCCGGGAGACTAGGGGGCGCCCCCGGCCGGGTCGCAGCAGCAGAATGACGAAGATGACGACAGCGGTGACGCCACGCCCGCCGCCCGGCCGCCAGTCCCGGGCGCCCCGCCCACGCAGGTCAGGTCGCCGCCGGGCTCGCGGCCGCGCGGCCCGGTGGAGCGCGCTCCCGTGCGCCCGGGTCCCACGCGCCGCCAGCCAGCCCGCCAGCGCTGCCCAGCGCCCAGGCTCCGGCGAACATGGCGCTCGTGCCCTGCCAGGTGCTGCGCGTGGCCATCCTGCTGTCCTACTGCTCCATCCTGTGCAACTACAAGGCCATCGAAATGCCCTCGCATCAGACCTACGGCGGGAGCTGGAAGTTCCTGACGTTCATTGATCTGGTAAGGCCGACCCCTCCCCTCCCCTCCCCCGGTCCACCCTGCACCCCGGGCCTGTGTGTTTGGGGTGCGCGCCTCCTTTCGCACCACCCCGTGCTCGCGTCTTCCGCAGTGACTGCGTCCAAAGGCCTGGCTGTCCCCGCTGCGCCGCCTCGGAACCACCCACCGTTACCGGGTGGCCCTGGACGGAGAAAGGTGCGCACAGCGAGGTGGTGGGCTATTTGCGAGGGGACACAGACCTGCTTCTAAGATGACACGGGAAGATTCTTCGATTACTGAGAGCGTCGGACGACCTTGAACGTGAGTGGCCTCAGACCCATCCGCCCCTAAGGTGCTTTCCAGAGCACCCACCAGAGGATAAACTTGCAGCAACCGAAGGACGCTGGGTATTGTCTAGCCCCTGGGAGCTTCGCTTGAAAGCACCCACCTTCTCCTGAGGGAGAGAAAGTACCCAATAAAGTTGTCTTCTTTGCATCTGCTTTCTGCCCACTGTCAGTAATTTACAGTACTTCCAACCTTTCCCTCAGAAACGTTAGGGAGAGAGAGTTTCAAAGTGCATTTCTAGCCTCGCTGTGCACTCTTCGCTGTGTGCAAAGTTTGCAGTAGTTGGCGTAAGCGGTTTCTCTGTTGACACAACACAACACAACACCCCTAATGCACAGATTATTATAATACCTCCTGGCCCTGAAAGGGCTCCCCCAGAAACGGAGATCGTGAGTGTAAGGCCCGGTGATGGCGTGAGGTGGACCTAGGCACTTCTGAGTGAGAGGTCACACACACACTAAAAGATTATCAGCTAGGGGCAGAGGGTTTAAGAAACTATCAGTGAAGTTCCAAATGATTCAAAAAATGTAGAACCAACTCCCAGAACGGTAGAACTGTCTGTCCAAGATGATACACAAGGTTGGCCATACTAGCTATGTTAGCATCTCTTTTCTTGACCCTCTGTATTGAAGAAAGTATCTTGGTACTTTTTCAAAGATCCTCCCAAAGGCATGGGCTGCCTCAAAGCAATGCAGTCAGAGGCCTTAGAAGTACCACTTGCCTTTATGTAATAGGAGATAATTTTGGAGAGGAATTTAAATTCTTGCCCCAAACAGTCTGTAGGCGCACAAGTCTACCTGTGGCCTAGAGTTTCAGTTTTCAGATTGTCCACTTCTCACTTAATCTGCCTCTGCATGTAGGGGTTTCCCTACCAGTTTGCCTTCTTCTTTCCATTCATCCATGTGAGGAGCCCATGGCAAGGCTCTGTGCTGTGGTTTTCTGCAAGTTCCTTCTAGCACTCAGGAGATAGATGCTGTCACCAGGACACTCTTCATATCTGGATAAGTTGGCTTGTCTGTGCGGATTGGCTTTGTCAGTTGTGTTATATAGCAGACATTTTGCATTGATCGGATGAACTATTGCTCCGGTCCTGAGGATTTGATAAATACGTGTAGAAAATGTGTTTTTACCATACATAAAGCATCAGAAATCATGTCCCTTCAAGAGTTTAAAGATGGTCAGATGTTACTTAACAACACATGCATTGTTTTCAGAATCCTTTGAGGAACTGTGTGAGCAGAGGTCTTTTGGGACAGAGGCCTTACCCTGTTCCTAAGTCAGATTTCACTTAGCCCCTGGGAGTGTTGTCAAGGAGTGATCAATAGATTGTATATACACTGCTCGCCATGCCCTTGCTTTATTTGCTATTTTGGGTCAGCAAGTACAAGAGGTAGAATGTGGGTGTTAGTTAATGCAAGAGAGATGACTGCTTCTCCTATCGGCATTGCTTACTGTGTTAGAAAACGGGTCACAAGAAACAACATACCATCTCTAACCTTTTCTATGACACGAAACAGTAGTAGAGTCGATTTAATATGCTGTCATGCAGTCTCTATTTTAGCATTCAGTGATAGGACTTTCCTATTTTAAATAGCAGTAATCACAATTTAGTATCCCAGTATCCAGACCATAAATTCAAATTCAATTTTTTAACTTTGTTTCGTACTTTTATTTGACTATTTTCATAAGGTCTTTAGTCAACAAACCTAGCTTTTTGTACTCTATGTCTCCTATTGATGCCACAAGTAGGGGGTAGTGCTTTAACTGTGTGCTGTTAACAGGCCCAAGGGTCTCCTCTATCCTTGTTGAGGGGAGAGCTAACCTTCTCTTCTCTTGTACAGCACTATGGCTCCTGATTGAAACAGAATAATTTTCTCTAACCAAGAGTATCTGTGAGAAAGTATGTCTGAAACATATTCATAAACACACACACAAAGTGTTATTCCTTTCATTAGAGATTTAGAGGCCTTAGCGCTTAAGCATCATACAGCTGTTAAAAAAAGCAAACTGTCAGTCCTTCTAGATGGCATGAAAAGATGAGGCTATAAAATTTACCTGTGCAATTTTACATTTGTGTGTGTGTTTAAAAAAAAAAACACCTAGTAAACTTTTATTTCCTAGTGCCTTGGGCAGTTTTAATGGCTGTAAGTTTATAGGATTAATTTTAGAAGCTTCTTAACTTTTTATAAGAAGACCATTTTGTTCTGATCAACTTGGATTGCAGGGTCAGGGGATTAATCCTAAGGGCCACAGTTGAAGTCGATATTCTGTAGCATCAGCTTCCTCGAATGGGAGTCAACTCTGGAAATGGAGCTAATGTGTCCAGGTGCAGAGGGCTATGTGGTAGCCGCCACTCTGGCCATTTTCATATTTCTGTTTGGGTAAGAGAGTCATTCCAAGAGAACTAGAGATCATGGACAAAAGGTGAAGTATAGATTGTCACTACCAATCATGGTATACAGTCATTCCCCTACAGCTTCTTTTCCCCATACTGAAAGACTATAATAGAACTAAACTCTGTTTGGAAAATTCGAGTTACCAAATGGAAAAAGAAACATTGTCTCGGTGTGGTAGACAGAATCATGGGGCCCCAAGATGTGTACATCCATGTGCCCAGAACCTGTGAATGTGAGAAGTTATGTGGCCAAGGGGAATTAAGGTTGCAGATGGGATTAAAGTTGCTGATCAGCCAAACTTTGAAATAGGGAAATTATTCTGCAGTATCCGTTTGCAGATATAGTCATGAAGGTCCTTACAAGTGGAATAGGCAAAAAGAAAAGAGTCGGTTGAAGGGAGATGTGGCTATGGTGGAAAATCACAGAGAGATGCAACTTTACCGGCTTTGAAGATGGAGGAGGAGGCCAGGAGCTGAGGAAGCATCTAGTAGCTAGAAAGGACAAGGAAACAGATTTCCCCCCAGGGTTTCCAGAAGGAACACATCCCTGACTACACCTGGATTTTACCCCAGTGACTTCTTACCTCCAGGATTGTAAAACAATAAACTAGAGTTGTCTAAGCCACTAAATTGATCATAACTTGTTTCCACAGCAACAGAAAATGAATACAGTTGGCTTTAAAGCCTCTGACCTAGAAAAAGCCCTATCTGATTTTGTACTTATAGAGAATAAATACAGGATTCAACTTGTCCTTTATGTATATTAGATAATTGGCTAATTTTAGCTTTAACCAAAACAGGGTTTCCCTGCTTCATTCATGAAGCTTTATGGAGGAGACTTGTATACATATAATATAGGCAGTATGAGATGTTATAAAGACTGAACCATGTTGGAAATACTAGGCCTTTTCTTCTTCTTTTTTTTTTTTTGGTACTGAGGATCGAACTTGGGTCCTTGTGCTTGGGAGGCAGGTGGCAGAACCCCTGTGCTAAATCCCTAGCCCCACTAGGCCTTTTCTTTACCACGATGTATTTCAAAAATTATTGTTACTCAATGTACCTGGCCAGGAGAAGGAATAATCTTAAAGGGAAATAAGCTAGAAAAAAGCAAAAATTTAAACAAATTGAAATATTTTCTTAGACAGTATCATAGTTCATGAATTTTCTGCAAATGATGCAGAGTTAGCCCCTTATTTACAAGCTAACTGATTATTCTCCAAGTTATGTAATTGTCCTCAAAGATAATCATAAAACAAATAAAGTAAAACTAGCACAAACAAGGAAAAAAAATAGCAACTGTATTTTGAGGCCTCCAACTAGTGCTTGGAGTATAACAGATACTTAGTATTTGAATAAATGGAAACTTTCTCTTTCCAGATTTTCAAAAAGTATACTTTCCCTTGTCCTGTCTTCTCTCCAAGCATTCAAAATAATATGGATTTTTAAAAAAAATCAAAACTTTATTTACATGTGCATGGTCAAATGACAGATAATCAGAGTCAACTCCTTTGAAAAACATGCACTGGGTGTTTGTTATTAAAAACTGAATTGGATTTGAGACCTTTTTGTTTTTAAAGATTGACATAATCTGGCTCTCTCCTTTGCTCTGGCTTGTGGTACTTTGGGTTTTGAGCATTGCCATTTCTTAGGGCTCTACTCTGCTCATTTCTCCCCCTGTACTGACTTTCCACGTATGTGTTGGCAGAATATTGTTGAGACCCTGCTTACCCCAAGTGTGGGCTGAGACCAATAGGATCAATTTTCTTTGAGGGCCAGCCCCACCCCATACTTCTTGACCAGAATTTGCATTTTAATGAGATCTTCAGGTGATTCCTATGCACATTCTGGTTTGATGAATGCTGAATTGCACTATTTTTATTTTGCGGTTTAAGGTGGAATAGCTGAGAGACCTATTTGAGGGAGACCTCAATTCTGTCTACTTTCAAAACATATTTAAGGTAACTTTCGCTGTGACATAATTAAAGATATGTTAAAAAATACAAGTTGTAAATAAAAAAGAAAAGTAGGTGTCAGACTCCAGGACTGGATTGGTTATTGCATTTGCGAAAGAAATTTAGATAATCTCCAAGGCAGCTAAGGCAAAAAGGAATACATTGTTTGATTATAAAGGAAACATTACAATTTATCAGAAAATATACAGTTTCTTTCCAAGGTTATTTATCACTGGGCTTCTCATATAAAGCATATCAGGCAGTATAATAAATAATACCTTTAATTATTTTTTATCAGATTATATAGAACTATTCTTAGAATTGATGCTTCT